TATAAAGAAATATTAATAATAAAAGTAATTAAAAATATTAATAATCTAAATTAATAATTGTGATATACATAATAATTATCTGAGTAATAATATATTAAATCTAGATATATTAAATATATAATGATTATCTGTATATTCAAAGTAAAATTAATCTTTTTAAAAATATAATACAAAACTAATCTATAATATAGATAGTACAAAATAAAGATCTAAATTAAAAGAATCTAAAAGAAAGATAATTCAATTAAAATTATTACAAATATTATTATAATTTAATTATAAAATTTATTTAATTTAATTATAAAGATAATATTTGAAAAGTATAGATTATTATAATGATTAATAGAATTTAAAACAAGAAAATCTAAATATTTATATAATAATTCTGATATAATAGTTAATATAATACTGAAAAATATAATCTAATCTTTTTAACTTATTAATATTTTTAATTTTATATTATTTTGATGTAATAATATTTTTATTTTTTAAATTATTTATTATAAAATAAATTTATTAATTATATAAATTAGATATATATATAAGATAAAGATAATAAAAAACTAATTTTCTTATCTTTTCAAATTCTAATATACTTAAATAATATAATTTTTTATTATATTTAAGAGTATTTTAAATTATTTTGAGATTAAGTATAAATCAGATAAATATTAATTGAATTTAATTAATAAATATGTTAGAAGTTATATTAAAAATCTTGATATTATTTATAAATTTTAAGAAATAAATAAAATTAATAAATTATAATATAAATTTTAAATTTATATTTATTTTATCTATTATTATTATTAAAAAAGTTATATTTACTTTGTTCAAAATTATTTTTCTAATTGATATTATTATTTTTATTAGATATAATTAGAATTATAATTATTATAATACTTAATATTATATAAATTGAGTAACTTGTCTAAAAAAACTATAATATAATCTTTTTAATTATACTTGTTCTTACAATAATTATTCTATAATATAAAATTAATTAGAGTTTATAAAATTGATTTAAAAAGAAATAAATCTTATATATTCAAGTAGAATATTTAGTATATTTTATATATATATTTTAAATAAGAATATTACTTTATATTTTTATCTATAAGTATAATAGCTTTTATATCTTTCTTTTTTATCTAATTCTTATATATATAATTTTGAATAAAATTTTATAATTCTTATCTAACTTATTATCTTTTAATAATATTATATTTAATATATACTATAATTAATTTGCTATTATAAATAGTATAATAAAGTAATATAATAATATAGTATAATTATAATATAAGATACAATTAATAATTATTATTAAATCAAGATCATAATATATTAATAATATTTTAATTTATAATTCTATTTTTAATTTATCTTTTTATTTATATTTAGTCTTATTTATTTATTAAATTTAAATATAATTTAGTTATGTATATTACATCTAATTTATAATTTTATTAGATTAATAATTTTCTAATTAATTATTATTAATTTTTCTTTCTTTAATCATAATTTCTTTAATATTTTACTAATTTTGATTTTTAATTACTTTGTATTTAATTTAGAAAAAGTTCTTTATAATAATTCTTTCAAAATTTTATTTATTTTTGAGTAAATTAAATGAAATATTATGTTAAAAATAATTTATAATTAGTGTAATAAGAAAATATTATATATAGAGAATCAAAAAATAATTAAGAAAATAATTAAATTTGATAAAAAAAAGTTAATTATTAAGTTAAGAGTAGTCAATTAATATTATTTTTATAATAAATATACATATTTTATATATATTATTTTTATTTATTTTCTTCTTGCTCTATTAAGAAAGTATTTTATTAAAAGTTAATACTCATATAAATTATTTTATTGAGAAGATAATTAGTTATTTTAAATTTTTCAAAGTTAAAAAATAAATAATTACTATAAATATAGTTATTATTATCATTTTAAAATACTTGTATATGTATAAGCTTAAAATGGTAATAATACAAGTTTAATACTGAGATCACTTTTATAAGTAATACTTATATATATTATATTTAATAGTAATAGTTATCAAATTATACTTTTCATCTTGAATTTGATAATATTAATAATTAAAAAAGATTATTTATTATTAATTAATTTTATATTAATTTGCAAGATAATATTATTATCTACAGATATTAATATAATTTATATTTTTATATATCTTATAAGCTGAATTATAGAATAATAATCTTATACACTTTATATTTTTTTCTCATTTCATAATCTCTGCTAAATTTTCATGTTTTTTATATGTTGCATATTAAAGATAGATTTTATCCAAATAAATTTACATAATATGACTAATAAAATTCAGATTTTACTAAAAATATGAATTTCACATGATATGGTCATAAAACTCAGATTTTACATATTTATCAAAAAAACCCAGATTTTACGTGATATTACTGATTGACGTAGATTTTCCTGGTTTGCAACTAGGTTTCACTCTATCATGTTATTATTATAATGATTGGAAAAGTTTATCTGCTCTTTTAGATTTTAGTCATGTGATTTCTTTGTCAAAAATATTAATTATGAGTATTTCTCACATCACATATTTTCTTTTAAATTAATCAAATCAAAATATAACAGGATGTTATTTACATATATATTTAACATAATTAATATATATATATAAATAAAGTATCTGATCAAAAGTTCCTGAATAGCATACAAATTCACGAAATTTATAATAACCATAAAATTAATTTTATCAAAAACATTTAAATTTTGATGCATAAAGTCAATTTGTTTTGATTTGTGAGCAAAATAATATCGATATATATATTCTGGAATTTGGTAGTTTTAAAGATCATTTTATAAATACATGTTTCTGTCTTTTTGTCGAAATGCGCTTGGAGTCGACTGTATTATTATCTTTATATATAATAATTTTTATAGAGCTATTAATGTTATAAAATTCAACTTTAGCCTTTTTCAATTTTATTTCCTCAACAAATGATATTGCTTCAAATTACTGTTGATTAATGTGTATTTGAACTGGGGAATTAACAACCGAATCATTTTCGTGCATTGCTTCCTTTTTTGTCGTTCTGTAATTTCTAAAACGATAAGAATTCTGAACAAATGCAACAGTTATTATAAAAGCATGTTAATAAAAAGATTTCACTCTGACATATTATTGAATAAACACCATGACTCATTATCGGATCATGTTATTATTTTTTGTTTCATGTTGTTAAATAAACTATATATTTGATATAAGAAACCCTTAATCTTGATAAGAAAATCAATCTATTTAATGTAAACAATATAGCAATGGTAAATATGTTTAGTGACCTTTGTATCTGTCTAATTTCGAACAAAAAGACTGACACGGAAATGGAAGCGTCTTGCTCTACTTCAACCCTCAATACATGACCTCAGCAAACTAAACATCTTAATTTCCCTATAAATTCAAACAAACACATAATGGAAATATTGTTGTTCGGGAGAGATACAATTTTTTTCATTTTCACATTGTTTAAGAAAAGGGTTGGTACCACTTCGTTGAACCACAAACGATTCACAAGTAATCAATTAAACAATAACGATGGTTGTTGATTGTAGATTTCGATTCGATCGAAATTGAGTTAATGCTAAGAAATTTTGATGACAAATTTCCCTCTTAAATGTGAATTTGTGATCACGGGATTGTTATTATTTTTATTTTCTCACGTTCTAGCAAAAAGCTGAATTTCGGGACAGGGATTAACAACAAAATTTTATTTTTTATAATTAATGCGAGCTCAACACGTCTGTAATCATCCTTATCATAATTTGAAAAAAGAAAAAATAATCACGATACTGAAGGCATGAATATTATGTGGCGCGATAAAATCTTTAGTTTCACTCATTGTTTCATTAATAAAATTTCCCATATGTACTATATAAGAAGCGAAAATGAGAATACATAAAGACATAAAAAATTTCTACTATATGCATGCATGGAAGAGTATTATTAGAAAGAGGGAATTGAATTAGATAGTTTCTTTCACGCACCACCACCACCACCACCACCACCACCATCATCATCATCATTTACCATCATCCACCTCCATCACCAGCAACAACGATTACCATTTTTTATCAATATTGTTTTTTCTATCCATTCATTAACCTCACCACCATCACACTAAGATTGTCAGTGCTGAAATTTTGCAAGGCGTGTTCAAGTAATTTTGCGCTCGCTTTTTGTGGATCAGTGTAGTCTTTAATGAGGTCAACTGCATCCTGGTCATCACACACATCCCATAACTAAAGATATGACAATAGATCATGGGTTAATATAAACTGTTCAAAGATTAACTGTAGGTCAAAGAAGAATTATAATTAAAAATATATATGTATATATATATATACCCCATCACATGCCAATATTAGAAAGGGATCTTTTTCCGTTAAAATGGTCTCAGTGGTATAAGGACTTCCAACACTGGATATGAAGAGATAAATAAAATTACTAATATCGATGAATGAACTATTTCTCAAATCTCATTTTCACAGCATAGTAATAACATACACAAAATCTTTCATTGAACTATCTCCAAGACTTCTGGTCACAGCGAGAACACCTATTTTTTTTTTAAAACATTAATTTTCAAGATAACTCAATCCGTAAAAAATAATAAATTATTTTCAAACCATTAACACGATTATTCATCACGAAACCACCCGCATCCATAATTCTTTTTGCCTCCTGAGCATCACTCCCTTTATGATCATATGATAGACGAATGGCATTACCATCACGGCTAGTAAACATTCAAAAAAAAATGATAAGCCAACCAGAAGTGATTTATTAGTAATCGATTAACTAACTAATAGAATAATGAATATATACCATAAAACCGCCCTGGCATCCCCTACATTTGCAGTATAAAGAACACGCTAAATATATTATATGACGTTTAAAGAATTTTATTGTCATATTGAATTAAAAATTCGCTAATAGGTAAAAATAACAGGTAAAACAATCTCGAAACTCAAGAAATGAACTATAATGGAAAATTTAGCTACATACCTTGAATTTCTTTTTTGTTTCCACTATTTCGGATGTTGATGTATTATTTTCTTTGCCGTTTGTTACTTCCCCTTCTTTGATTTCTTCTGTTCGTAGGAATGCGGCGATAGCGGTGCATCCTGAATGTTTGCCCGCGTTTTGATTCAGTTCTTTGTCAGCTTCGAGAAATGCCAAATGAAATACTTCTGGGATTGGGAGATGTGTGTTATTTTGGAGAACTTGTTGAAAAGTCTAAAAGGTCAAAAAATAAATATGATGAACTCGAATAAAATAACAAATAATGAATAATAATAATAATAATAATAGTGAATAATAATAATGAATAATAATAATAATAAATAATAAAAAATAATAATAATAATAATAATAATAATAATAATAATAATAATAATAATAATAATAATAATAATAATAATAATA